CTGCTGACACTAATAGCTAGAATCCCACACTGAGAAGGCAGGAGGGGCCGGTGAGGACAGAGATCATACAGAAAGCATCTGCAGAGAACAAATATGTACCACGAGAAGTGGTATCAAAGTGGAAAACACCGAACTACATCAGAACAGATATGCTCTTCACCCAGAACTACAGAAAATTGAAAAGGGTGGGATATAATACAAGTATGATGGTCCAGCCCTGTCCAAACAGCCGAGGTTCAACAACTCGGGTTGAATTTGAGGAGTCATAGTAACCATATCCCACGTTGGTGGCCAGGGCAATTGGACCACATATATATATATATATATATATATATCTTTGTGATAGGATCCCTACCAGTAACCACAAAATTATGTATTTCAAACCACCGGCTTTATGAAATAAAGAAAGCAACACTAAAGTGGACAATCCTTCTGATCAGCCTGAAGTCCAAAAGGCAACATCCCAGGTCTGGTTTGATTGGATCATATGCCATGTTCCACCAAAATCAAGAGCTCATCCAGTCTGGATTTACAAACAGTTGTCTTTACACCCCACCAAGTGGCCAAGGAAAATTCCGCTTACCCATGGAATTAAGGAGAGGATGTGGAACACTGTCCCACCAAGGACCAAAAATGGGACCACGTAGGGTTCAGATTTACAAAGAGATAGTGGTCCCCTTGCATGAACAACAAAAGACCAGACAGTGTTCATAAGAGGGTCCAAGCACCTCCCCCCTCCCACCAGATAGCTAAGTGTCAAATTTGGACTGGTTTTACGAGTAGGCTTCCGCATAACTTGGTCTTGCTCCTACCGACATCTGGGAAAAAAACTTCCAGGGACCCAGGTAGGAGGGTCACCAACTTCACCTTCTTCTCTGAGAGTGGAGAAAACTCAACATTCCAAAGGTAAATCTTCTGTCCACCACCCCAGCAACTGGGAACTGGGTGTGATAAGGACTCCTGAGTTCCACTAGTAGAAGTAGGGGGGGGGGACATTAGCATTGGGGAGTCCTGAGGAACAGGCCTCTGGAGACAGTGCAACAGGTGAACCACATTCTCTAATTTTTAAATGCAAACTGATCTTGACTGATTCAGCTGTAAGATCAGCTTCACTCATGATAGTCCATGAGTAGCTGTCCATTAATAATATTGTAATATGATATCACCATCCAGAATTGTGTCCAGATGGTCTTATGGAACACCTCATCTCAATAGAGCCCATTGCAACCAGGAACCGATATTAAGGTTGCTAATGCAGAATTTAAATACAAGCATACCCAACCGGGCAACACTAGCTACTGAGTAGGATACAAAAAAAAAATCAATAGGGACCCTAGAAGAGAAAGGAACAATAACTGTAAGTCAGATAACACATTACTCACCACCCTGTTAAAATCTAGTAGAGGTAGTCACAGCCACAGGTGGAAGATGAAGTCCCTTCAAAGAGGAAACTGCCAGATCATGAAGGTAATGAGATATGAACGTATCGGGAGAAGTCCACATATTGGCCCACAAAATATCTCCTGAGAATAAGGATGGAAACAATTAAGAGAACCAATGGAACAAGGAGTGGAAGGAGGGGGCCTTGAAACACAATGGGATGAACCTGCAGAAGTAAAAGTGGAAGTAGAATAGGGTCGAGCAGCCAAAGACGATAAAGAAGACTGCAAACGTGCTGTATCAACTCTGGTTTCTAAAAATTCTGGAATTCCAGCAAATAAATAAGGCTGAAGAAAATGCGCTTCTCATAAATTTTGAAGGGCAGAAGAAGGTAAGTGAATACCTAAAAATGCATCACGACTCAACAAGTCTGAGCAATAGACCAACCACGACACCAAGACAAGTCCTGAAGAGGACAAATGTGTCACAGTAGTGACCAGTAAACGGCCCAGTTCATCGTCAAATTGTTGATGCGATCGGTGATATGTTTCAGACAAAAGTTGAAGGGAAGAGAAGTATCTTAAAACAGTAGTAAGAGTCAAATTAATCTATAAAAATTTCAACCTGTTAAGAGAGATAACAGGTTCGTACCTGGCACAGCATAGATTCAACAACGGATCCAACCTTTGATGTCCAAATATATATCATCCTGATGATGATATGCCAGGGCATGTTGTTCAGATAAATAAGGGGCGGGAGGCATAGCGACACTCTCATGTAATTGTGTTGCAAACCTCCCTGCATGCACAGCAATATCAGGAGAAGGAAGAAAAACTAAGTAATCCCCTCAAGAATGATCAGACAACAAAGCAGGGGTAGACTCAAAAGCAACTGGTTGCATCTTCAAAACTTCACAAACACATGTACCTAACTGCAGAAAAAGGTGCAGAAGGTGGCTGATCAGATGAGTCCTCAGAAGAGGAAGCTCTAGTGAGAGAAGGAGCAGGAAACAGGGAGTCCAAATTCTCCCCAGAATATCCCGTTTCAGAATGACAATTCAAATCAGTACCTACTGGAGAGATACTTCCGGGTCGCATGAAGGACTCAATCTCACCCTGAATCAGATCACGGACAGCTTCCACGATGGTATCTGTGAAAATATGAAAGTCCAAATGAAAAGGAATGGTAAAAAGATTGTCTCTTGCTGTCATAAACTCTTGATTCAGAAAGAGTGATGCTGAGTGATAAATGGTCCGAAGTAAAATGCTGCTGAGAAGCAAGGCCCCAATTAGGTGATGTGTATGAGTGTCCCCTAAGGGAATGATTTTGTGAGGTGAGACCATCACCTCTAAAGCAGAAAGGATGTCCTTAATAGTAGATGTGGAATACAGAACAGTATGAATATGAGGCTCCAAGTCTTTCAATCCCATAGTAGTTTTCCTTGAACAGTGTTGGTCCAAGCTCCCAGATGTACTAGTATTAGGTGATACACTCAAGAGATGTATCCAGTTGGGTGGTTAAATGAGTGTGTGTGTGGAAGAAATAGTAAGAATAAGCCAATCTTCCATTTAAAAGTCTAGGTAAAGACAAAGACCAGTAAATGCTTTGACTGTTCCAAAGAAAAAGTTTTGCACCAAGGCCAAGATGAATGGAAGGGTAGTGAACTAAAAAATCACCACCAATGACAAAAATAAAGAAAATGATTTAATGATGAGTGAATAGAGATATAAAAACAAGCATCCCATATATCTACCTTTGTCATCTAATGGCCTTAATGAAAAAACAATGATCAAGGTAAAGATCGAGTTGAGACAGGTGTAAGACAGATTTCTAATATCACATTTTCTTTAGGATTATAAAGGGAGAGGAATAAAAACATGGAGAGGCAAGGTAAACAATTTTCACTGCTACTTTCTGAAGAAGATCTGAGACTTCCTGACCCAGAAATTCTATACAAACAGGATCAGATGAAATAGTAATAAACAGTAGCTGAATTAAAAGAGAAGGAGGATAATGAAAGTATAAGACTGAACTGATGGATCTGTCAAATCCAAGGTTTGCACAGATGAACAAATGGCTAGAGATAACCCTCCAAATGATCAGATGGAGGAGTCATCCACAACAGAAAAGAGTCGATGAGTGGGTCCAAAATACTCACCTCATCTACTTTAACATCTAGCAACTCAAAAGAGTGAAAAGATACAAGCAGATGCAGTGGTGTTGACTGAGAATTGATAAGGAAGGTAAGGCAGAAAGACAAACAATCGCAAAAATGAAATGTTAAAACCCTAATCAATTCTTGCTGACATGCTTTTCCTGAAACAATGCAGGAAAGAAGCTCATTCAGGGTTGGAGGATGTGGGAGACAAATGCCTTGTAACATGATGGGCTAAAGTTTAAAAGACACATAAGAGTCACATGGTAATAGGAACAACATCAGTGAAACCTATAGTGAATGAAGACTGAAAGGTAGATATTTTATTCTAACTAAAAGAATCAGAGTAACAAGAATAGCTAGTGTGAGGAATTGAAAACTTGATAATGAGACAAAGTAGAACCTCCAACATATACATAAGAACTAACCTGAGGATCAAGAACTTGAGAAGTAACATGAGAAGTGGAATATGACTGTGCTGAAAGCCCATCCTCATGGTGAATGTGAGGCATATGAAGGTTATTAATATTTTGCTGATTTTTAAAGGCATCAGCAATAATCTGAATATCATGAGAAAGTGGAAGAAATAAAGATTCAAGTACAAAATCATCAAACTTGACACTAGCATTTTTGGTTTAAGATTTGAAATACAGCATACCTAAGGGAAAGGAAAAGTGAGAACAGTAGACAAATCTTGCTCTGAGAACAGTGAAGTCAAAGACTGATCATTTTCAAAATCATATGAGAATGATGGGTATTGAGCATCCACATGATCATGAAACTCTCCAGGGTCACCAGCAGAATATTTGCATTACAGCTCAAATACATTAATCAATAAGGGATGAAAATGTAACCATGGGATCACTCTGCATGATAAAGGCAAACTGATTGAGTAAGGCCTCTAAAGAATTTGTGAAAGTTCTGATACTGCTGGAAGTATTTGTATCAGAATTATTGTTGACTTCTGAATTCACTGTATCAAGGTTAAGAGCATGATTGCTAACATCAACAAATCTGAATTATAGCAGGAAAAGATAACTTAGATAACATTCTCCTGACACAATGAAGGTGGGAGAGTGGAAAACTATGAGTAAGTTGACTCGTATTCTGCATTGTGTTGAGGAGAATCAGAATGTAGTCACATGTTTACTGACAGCACGAGAGCAACTTAATAAGGAAAGGATTTTCACATTTTAGAGGTATGTCTGTTTTGAAAATAGCCTTTTTTTTAAGTAACTTTAATTTTCAATACAATACACAAATAATACTTTGAATTGTAATACATTAAAATTCTTCTCTGAACTCTTATAAACATGATTATATATATACCTTCTCTTCAGCAGTTTTCTTCTGGGCTTCAGTCAGCTGTGAACACATAGTCATCATTTCTTGTATTTTCTGGTCAATTCTTTGTTGTCGCTTCTGTTGATGGTCAAAGAAGGATGTTCCTTTGGAAGCATTGAATATAACTTGATTTATGTATTCCTTGTCTAATCCATCCATACCAGCTTTTCCATCATTAATTTCCATTGTCTTAAGTCCTGCTGAGAAGTATGTGGACGCATTTTTCTACAACACGTCACAGAACTCTAGTAATTTACATGCAAGTACTTGTTTTATTGTTTTTTAATCATGCACATTATCACATACCTGAGAAAAGCAAGTCATACTGTCTGATTAAGCAATCACATTCTTCTTCTTTAACTCTTTCAGCACGGGCTCGGTCCCTAGGACCGACC